GAATGAGAATCGTCGTCCACAAGAATTCGTACGGTCAGAGTGAAGGTGGTGGGGGATTCCGTGAGGAGGATGCTCTCCGTCTCCCACCCGGCAGACACTTTATTGTGCGGATTGTATTATTAACGGTATTATTAATTGATTAGATATTATGGTGATTAGAACCGTTAAAATGATTATTAAATAAAAAAATGTATTTGTTATTATTACACTGGACAATAAAAAGTATCGAATTATTTTGGATAATTTATAAAGACTTCTCTTATAGTTTGTCATACCGTTAAATACATTAACAGACCTTACTAATTTATTAAAATACTCTTAATTTTTTTATAATAAATGACTGAAGTACCCTCTTTCTATATGTATAGAGAGTGTATATATATATATATATATATATATATAGAGGGAGAGAGAGAGGCGATCTGAAGAGACCGACGGTGGGTCGCCGTCAAAGAATTTACCAAAATGTCTTTGGCCTGATCCTAAACAATTCGCCGTGGTGTTAAGGCGACAGTGTTGAGGTTTAGTTCATGGCAATGATGATCTTGGTCTGGGTTTTGCAACGATGCTAAGATGATGGTTCATGACGATGGTAGGGATTTTACAACAATGTTTGTTCATGGCGGCCGGCGGTAATGATCTTGGTCTGGGTTTGCAACGATGTTGAGATGTTGGTTCACAGCAACCAGCGATGATCACACTAGTGTACTGCCTAACAACATCTTTTGGCCCAGAACCCAGAAAAAAGAATGCATCAACAATACCCGCCTTACTCATCCATAGAGTATCAATCCTATTCTGATCTAAAGGAAGGGAAATTGATGACTCTGAATTCCAACCAGACTCCAGAACATCAATTTGCATTTCAGCTGCATTCAACTAGAAAAACCCAGAAGTACCCCGAGGGGAAAGCATAAATGGTATGGACCCATAAATCCCAAATGGAGAATCATGAATATATTCAAAGACATCCAAATTAAAGAGCCGATATGGCTCCGATTCTACAACACCAGGCCAGGCCCTTTTGTGGGTTTCAGAGCTAGATTGGTGGCATGTTCAGGAATACCATAAACAAAATCAGCCCCATAAATAAACAACTTCAGAATAATCCGAATCACCATCGATCGTTTCCTTTAAAACCCTTTGCAACCAGAGCTTCTTGTCCAAGAATTCCGGCACAATCACATCGTGTACTTGGAACTGCTTTTTCGGTTGCGTGGAATCATATATGCATTCTTGATTAAATAATCATCACATTATATCAAATATGCAGTATTTATTTTCAAGATGTTGGTAGTACATTGGATATTACTTCTTTTTTTTTTTTTTTTTTTTCCCACATTGGATATTACAAACATTCTTAAATTGAGAGTGAATTGTCAATTTAATTGTGAATATTAGATATAGTATTTAGCTTCAGTGGGGCCACGAGGGACCGTTGAACCCACGTCATCGTGATGTATGGGCCCACCAATAGAGCCTCAGATGACTCTGATGAAATTCAGTCAACGACCATTAGATATACATGTGACTTGTCCACTCGGATAGTGATTTTACTAAAATCAACTGTCCATTATTGAATAAGGGACGCTCTAATTTAGTGGCATTTTCACACTTCTATGTGGGGAATGGCAACGGGGCAACTTGGTCATCTTAGACTATTACTAACGCTAAAAATTATTTTCGCATGTCAAATTTATATTTTGACAGGTGTTATAATGTCAAAATATTACATTTTAACAATCTTGTTTCAATAGTGCATTTAATGCAAAATACTATTTTTTAACAAAACTACTATTCTTTTTCAACTACCATTCCCATCATTCATATTTGCATCAGTAATATTAATTTTAGGCACATTCCAAGTCAAGTTGTAAAAATTAGAAGGAAACTAAAATTAAACCTAATTAAAAATATGCAAAAATCTAAAATATCTGGTAAAAAAAGGACCAAAAAAAAAAAAGAAAAAGAGAAAAAGAGAGATAAAACAAAATGATATAAAATAAAATAAAATTAATGTGATAAAAAATTTCAAAATCTATTAAAGGAATTCTAGAAAATTCTAATATGGAGTACATGAAATTCAACTAAGTGAAGCAACAACATACTGTCCATAATGAAAAACAGAGTCTATTAACTGAGATTGTAAAAAATGTATATCGTTCTAAGTGACACAATCTTTTTAACGGGTGTCACCCTCACCACTCCGAGTACGTTTCTACTCTCACACTTCGTGCGCTTTCCCTTCCATTACCACTATTTGTGAATTAATTTTTTTATTTAATTTTTTTTTCTTTTTCAGAAATTTATATATATTATATATATATGTATATTATATATATTTGATTATATTATTATTAAAAATATATATATTTTTAGGAAAAATCATTTCAGCCTCCCCAATCGCCTCCATCTCTATTCTCGTTCTCAACTTGCCCCCCCCCCCCCCCCCTATGCAACTGCAAACTACAAAATCAACAAAAATCAAAAGTTCAAAACCCATATCTTTTAGTTTCCATCGCCCGCTGTTCCAGTTCGGGTTTGCCGTTTGTAAGCTTCAGCCGCTGTCTCTCAACTCTTAAGCTTGCCCCCCTCCCTCTCTGCAACTGCTTATACGTATGCGTTTTGTTTAACTTTTTTTTCTTTCTAAATCAACTAATCATGGTCTGTAATTCTTGTTTTGCAAACTAAATCCTATTTTGTGAATTTTTTATGATCTTTTTTAAATATATATATATATATATAAACGTATCATTTCAAATTGTTCAAACCCCCCCCCCCCCCCCCCCCCCCCGCGTTCTCTTTTTCTGAAATAGCAGTAGCTATTTCTTGTGCTATAATTAGCATCAGTTTTGGCAAAGTTAAATTTAGCAGCCCTGCAATATTTTAGAAATGGCAGCCCATATAGCATTGCATTGGAGATGCTGTCAAGGGTTAAATTACATTGGTGCCTTTCAAATTTAGACAAATCAAACATAAGTAAATTATTATTAAGTGTTTGTTATTTTGATTTTTTTTTAATTCATTCCTACCTAAAAATATATATTATATTGCACTTTATAGGGTAGAATAAAATTATCATTTCATAAAATTTCATCAACATGTCTGCCAAAAAGAAAACGTAACGGGTGTTATTGAGCGCACGTGTTAAATTTCAAAAAATGTTAAAATAATAAACGTTGATCGGTTAACCCGTATGTAATTTGTTCAAATCTCAAAAGAGGCCAATATAATTTAGGGTTAATTTTACATACACCCCCTGACCTTTGACCATATCCCACCTACACCCCCTCTAGGTTTCAATATTCCATGCACACCACTTGAGAATGACGGCCGTCCCATTGAGTAACGGAAATATGTGAATTTACAGAATTGTCCATCAATTATATATTAATATTTATAAAACAATGTACCTAACAATAAAAAGACGTAAATAACCTTTTACCTAAAAAGACCTAAATATACGAAAGAGAGATTGACAAACAGAGAGCGAGCAAGAAACGAGAGAGCTAGAGATAGCGAGAGAGAGAAACGAAACCATTCACTATGATTTTTTTTTGGCTCCGAATCATAATCAAAGCAAATAAAGAACGAGCGAAACATGGCCTGAATTGAAGATTGTGATTAGGGTTTGTTGAGTACGAGGTATGTATAAAATGTTGCTTTCCTGTTTAGATTTTGGTGTTATTGTTTTGATTTTGTATTTTACGGTTTTAGGGTTTGATTAGATCGATCGCAATTTAGGTTTTCTGTGTTACGATTTTAGGGTTTACTGTTATAAACAATCAATATTTTTTTTATACTTATTTTAAAAACACAAACATTTTTATTTTGTTCCAGTACTTAACCTAATTCTTCAAAACCTATAATTTTCTTTATTTTTTCCTTTCTATAAACATAAACACATGTTCTTTCAATTATGATTTTTTACTTGTTTTTTCCGGGTTGATTAGGGTTTTCTATTATAATTAATTATACTTTATTTGAAAACACAAATATTTTTATTCTGTTCCAGTCTCTACTCAACCTAATTCTTCAAAACCTATAATTTTCTTTATTTTTCCTTTCCATAAACATAAACACATGTTCTTTCGATTATGATTTTTTACTTATTTTTTCCTAGTTGATTAGGGTTTTCTATTATGATTTATTTATACTTTATTTGAAAACACAAACATTTTTATTCTGTTCCAGTCTCTACTTAGCCTAATTCTTCAAAACCTATAATTTTCTTTATTTTTTCCTTTGTATAAATATAAACACATGTTCTTTCGATTATGTTTTTTACTTGTTTTTTCCTAGTTGATTAGAGTTTTCTATTATGATTTATTTATTCTTTATTTGAAAACACAAATATTTTTATTCTGTTCCAGTCTTTACTCAGCTTAATTCTTCAAAACCTATAATTTTCTTTATTTTTCCCTTTCTATAAATTTAAACACATGTTCTTTCGATTATGATTTTTTACTTGTTTTTTCCTAGTTGATTAGGGTTTTCTATTATGATTTATTTATACTTTATTTGAAAACACAAACATTTTTATTCTGTTTCAGTCTCTACTTGGGTTTTCTATTATGATTTATTATTATTCAAAGTTTCTAATTTTCTGTTTTTATATTGCTTTCTTTGTATATGCAATTCATTTTTTTTTGTCAAATTCATGGACATACTTTATAGGTTAGTAGTCCATCATTTGGATAAAGTGTTTACTTTATGGAATGTGGATCCTGACAGATACTCTTACAAGGAATTGCATGATGATTGTTATAAGTGTTGTATTCTTCCATTGTATGGTATTATGGGGGTTGCACTTAGAATTGAATACGAATTACACAATAGTAGGCTTAAACTGTTGGTTGAAAATGATAGTGATGTGTTGGATATGTTTAGTTTTCACAATTGTATAGAAGACATTAACGTATATGTTGATATAATTCCACCTATAGCTGTTGATATTCCAAACAATGCACCATAAGCTGCACCTGAAACTTCTTTTGTACATGAAGAGGTGGAATATTGTGATATGGGTTAATGAACAGGCAGATGGTGTGGAGGTTGGTCAAAACAATGAAGATGAATCTAATGAGGATGAGGATTATATGTATAGTTTTAGCAGCGAAGATGAAGATTGGAATGTGAATAATGGTGATGGTGGGTTAGTAGATGAAACAACTTTGAGGAATAAGCATGGAAATCGAAGTGATGATGGCTTAAGTGACTACTCTTCTAATGATGACTGTGGCTATTCATCAAGTGATTGTGATGAAGATGGAAAGGGAGATAATGTAGAAGAAGATGATGGAGAAGAAGGGTATTATGGGAAGGTAAATCCCAAAGGAAAAAGAAAGAGAAGGTCAAAGACTAGTGTGGTTGATTATACCAAGTTTGGAAAAGTATTCGAAAGAGTTGAAGGGACCAAATTTAAATTGGAACAATTTCATATATTTGAAAATATAAACAAATTTAGAGAGATATTGAAGGACTATGCAATTCAGGAGGGTTTTAAACTAAAAAGGGTAAAAAATGAAAAGTGGAGAATGACTTGTAGGTGTGCAGCAGAGGGCTGCCCATGGAGGATACATGCATCCCCTATCGGAGATACTCTAACTTATTGTGTTAAGACGTATAATGATAAACATGATTGTGTTAGGGTCTCCCACAATGGAGAAATAGATTCTAAGTGGTTAGCTAAAAAGTTTGGTTAAAATTTTAAACATAATCCAGAATTGACTGCGAAGGGGTTGAAAGGGGTAATTAAACGGGCTATTGGACATAAGCCAAAGAGGTCACAGTTGTACAGGACAAGGGGGAAGGCAATGGATGAAGTTGAGGGAAATCATGCTGCCTTATATGGGTTATTGCCACAATATGCAAATGAAATCAGAAAATATAATCCAGGCAGTGTAGTTAAGTTTGACCATTGGAGACCTGATTTTTCTTTGAACCCAACATTTAGAAGAATATTCATTTCATTTGAAGCAATGCGAACTGGGTTCAAGTTGGGTTGCAGACCATTTTTGGGGTTGGATGGCTGTCATTTGAAGGGGCCATATGTGGTGTACTATTGGCAGCCATTGCTTTGGATGCCAATAATGGGTTATTTCCTGTGGCATTTGGTGTGGTGGAGAGTGAGAGGAAAGACAGTTGGAAATTTTTTTCACAGCACTTGAGCACTGTTATTGAGGCAGATACACTTGATAAGCCTTGGACCTTCATGTCAGACATGCAAAAGGTTAGTATTTTACTTCTTGTTGTTTTTTTTATTTTTTTTATTGGATAATTCATTTAATGTTTTTTTATACACTTGATAATTCATTTATTGTTTTTATTTTTTATTTTTTTATGATAGGGTCTTGACCAAGCATTAGTTGAAACCATTCCTCAAGCTACCCATAGATTGTGTTGTAGGCATTTGTATAATGCATTTAAGAGAAAACATCTTGGTCTAATGCTACAAAAGAAATTTTGGAAGCTGTTAGAGCCTATAATGCAGTGGAATTTCAGAAGACCATGGACCAAATGAAGAACATAAGTGAAAAGGCTTATAACTGGCTCATGAATAACTTTGAATTGTCATCATGGGCTAGATATGCATTCAATCCAGATGTGAAGAATGATCATGTGACCAACAACATAAGTGAGAACTTCAATAATTGGGTGGGTGATCTCAGGATGAAGCCTTTACATTCATGCTTAGATGGAATTAGGGCAAAAATGATGGAAAGAATTCACAAAAGTTACGAACAAGGTTGCACTTGGCAAGGATTAGTTACACCCAAAGTAAAAAAGAAGTTAAACAATGTTATTGCGGAGGGAAGGGGTTTTTCTGTGTTGGTTACTGGTAGGGGAGAGTTTGAAGTCACAGATGAGACATGTAGACATGTTGTTAATTTTAATGCAAGAACATGTGACTGCATGGGTTGGCAAATCGCAGGCTTACCTTGTAAGCATGCAGCTGCTGCAATATGTTACAACAGAGAAAAGATTAAGGCTTTTTGTGATTCTTCTTACACTATTGACACATATATGAAGATACATGAAGGGATTATACATCCTATACCTGACCAACAACTGTGGCAGCCATATACTGGAATACTATTGGAACCGCCGCCTCCTAGAAGATTACCTGGAAGGCCTAGGAAGAATAGAAAGAGAGATACTGGTGAAGCCCCCAAGGTGGTTAAGAGGAGTTACGCTCTTAGGTGCATGCTTTGCCAAAGGACAGGGTACAATAAAAGAACTTATCAAAGGGCTCCAACTAGAAGGGAACTGGTATTTAATTTACTTTACTGGTAGTCAATTTACTTTATTTATTAAGTTTTTTTTTTTTTTTTTTTTAATCCAATGAATCACTCATATACTTGTATATCTTACTATTAGCAAGAAGAAGTTGCAAGAGAAAATGGAGGAGAGTCTGTAACTCCAAGTTCAATATGTAAAGTTAGTCAAGGGGCATCTCAACCAAGGCAAACCACACAACAAAGAGGAAAAGTAAGTCAAGGTCCAGCTCAAACAAGGCCAACCACACAACAAAGAGGAAAAGGAAGTCAAGGAGCATCCCAATCAGGGCCAAACACACAACAAGTATCTTGTAAATTTTTTTTTTTGTTTAATAGAAAACTAATTAATTACAATGTCTTAATACCTTATTTTTATTGAATGCGATAGTCACAAAGACGAAGTGGTTCTGTTGTTCCAACTACAAACAAAGATAAAGAGAATGCATGTCCATCAAATGCACAAACAAGAGGAAAAGGGCCACAAATTGGTTTACCACAAACAAGGAAATACATACCTGTATTTGCTTAATTAGGAGCTAGAGGAAGTGGGATAGGAGGATCTCAGAATCCAAAAGGTACTTGAAATGATGTGGGATATGGGACATTTGTAATGTTGAACAATGTCATTTTTTTTGCTGGTATTTTGCAATATGTTGGTGTTAGCTATTTTTGAACTTTTAAAGAAGAATAGCTTTGCAACTTTTGATTGTCGATTAGGTTGGTATGTTTTTGTAACCATTGTATGGCTTATTATATTGGCCTCTACCTTGGATGGAATGAAATGAAGTTGCTCTTTTGCTTTGGTGGTTTTTTCCATTTTTGAAGAAGTGAAAAATATACGGGTTGTTCTGTTATGGCAATTATAGGCCAAGGACTGAGTTAGTTGAGGTCAATCTACGTTTGACATGTGACAATAGGAGAAAGTTTAGCCTATTCATTATTCTCCTTCAGTTTTTTTATTTTACTTTTTTAGTTAATGGAATATGAATGCGCCAGCGAATGAGAAATTTAGACTTATGAAAGATTTTGGGGTAACAACGAAGAACTCTTATCGGGAAAAAAACCGAGTTTCTGTTATTCAAGGTAGAATGTCAGCTTTCACATTTTATGTGCTTGTATTGTTTAAAAAAGATCTCAAAGAAATTTTCTAACAAAATGTGAAGTTTGTCACTTTCTATACTAGTGGACAGTAAGTAACATGGTACAAAAGTTACATTACCAGTTATTTAGTGTATGCCTAGTTTACGCTATACTGGGAATACATACCAAAACACACCCACCCACACCCACACACACATTATACTATCGGGGAGGGAATGACTGAATGGAACACATACATTTGTAAAATATCAAAATTTGTTGGTTAGAGGAAGACAATTTCTGAATTTAAGGTTATGCTGCTAGTACCTCAGTTAGTGCTGAACTCCACAATGTATACATAAATAATCTGTTCGACTATTACATGAATGTACTATAAAAAAAATTTAATTCTAAAATTGAAGCAGTTGAATGAATGGAAAATTAGCCTGTTGTTTCCTTGGTTCCATGGTGTTGAACAGAAGGATAATTTCATCTTAATAGTTCATTGTCAAAGAAATACCTCTCTCTCACAATAAACACTTCATAAGGGTAGTTTTGTAACTCTGTAATGGTCAATAAAGTTAAAAATGTCATTTCAGCCATTATAAAGGGCAAAATTGACCTTGTACCCATTTATCCATCCTGACATCAGCACTAAACGTCTGTTACTTAACAGCATGGGGTAAGTTGATACGTATGGTCAAAGGTTAGGGGGTGTGCGTGGAATATTGAAACCTAGAGGGGGTGTAGGTGGAATTAACCCTATAATTTACCCCTAGCATAATTGTTCTATCTCTATTTAAAACTTCTTATTAAATGGAGAGGATGGGCAGGCGGAGTTGGGAGATTTAAGAAAGAGTTTTTGTAATACAATTCCGAATCTAACGAAGTAAATAATGAAACAAATTTTAAACCATGATAATAATATATTTTCTCTTCTACAGAGAAGAACAATATTCAAATTCTCAATTAGAACTTGAGATTTAATATTATTGTAACAACTTCACAATAATATATGAGCAGATGCCTCGACACTAGTTATTACTTCCGGTGAATGTTTAGTAATAAGCGTGGTTGGTGACACAAAATAATAATAAATAAAAAATCACATTAAATTATTTGGTAACAATTTTTTTTTTTTTAACACTCCTATTGCTAATTTTACAATAATATCCTATAATATGATGTTACCATATTTGATAATAGGAACTTTATTAAGGAATTAGTGTAATTGTCTTTATAAAAAATTAAGAGGACAAAATTGTTTAATGAAAAAGAATTACCTAAAATATTCAACCTCTACTCTTAAGCAGTTTTAAAGACTCCAAATTTTAGCTTAATTCAAATGCTCTACTGAACTAAATTTGGCAACTATTCAAAACACTTATAATGGTTATCAAACGCATTTAAACGCAATTTTTCAAAATAAAACATTTTTAAGCAATAGAGAAGCAATCCCAAATGTACTCGATTACATTGTGTACTTAATGTATACCTTACATGCAAAATTATAATTTATCAATATAAACGAGGGAACCTTTCCCCACCCCAAAACCATTCAACCACCCATATAATTGTAATGAACGATGCGAGATAGAGCAGGTACCCAATGAGGTGAGGTGTTATGCGAGTCCAAGTTACGAAGATTAATCAAGTTCTCACATTAGGTGGGGACATGCATATTGTTTACCCTTCTTTTTAGAACCAAAACTTTTTGAAATTTAATTATTATTTTTTAAAAAATAAACAAATTGAAGATTTAAAGTGAAATCACATTTTTAAATTTAAATAAACTTGACTTTTATTAGAAAGACAAAAATCATGTTTTTCTCAATTTGAACATATATAAGGCAAGCATCGATAATGAGGTATTAAAATACCCTTTTAGGTTATTTTGTTTGCCTGGATTTGAAGCTTTTGAATTGGAATTACTTGAATTGGAGAAAAATAACTCATCAAATTGAACTAAAATTTTCTCTAATTCCACCCATACTAATTCCAATTTCAAAATTTCAATTTTATGCAGTCGAACCTAGCGGAATTGGAATTGGAGAAAAAATTTATTCAATTTTGTAGGTTACTTTTTTTCAACTTCACTAATTCCAATTCCAATTCCAATTTCAATTCAAAGATTCCAAATCCATACAGCCGAACATAGCTTGAATGAGGTAATCCATGATATTGTTTAAGGTGCACTGTCCACACACATTCTTTTAAAACAGTGATTCAATTCGGGTCTACATGTATTAGTTCGGTTATAAATACAGATTGGTTCAGTTATGGATTGAATTTTAGTGGATAAAAAAATTCCATATCGCATATAAATACATACTTAGGATTCGTATGATTGGTCCATGTGTTTAGTTACAATAAGACTACACATACGGATTATAATATATATATATATATATATATATATATATCTATCCTTAAAAAAAAAAACAAAAACAAAATAAAGGATAACAAGATCAATTTTGCATTATGAGTTCAATATAACATTATTTTTGTATGTAAGTTGTAACATGCTCTCTCTCTCTCTCTCTTTTCTTTTTTAATGTGAAATTTAAATTAGGTGATCAAACACTAAAATTGTTTAATTAATTTCGAAGTGGCTCATTTGTTTGGATGTAAAATCTTATGTTTAGTTGTCGTAAAATATTTACGAAAAAGAAAAATTAAAATCTAAAAAAATAAATTATTCATTAATTTTTGACAAATTATTTTACATTCTCCGTTTGACGTACTCAAAAATAAAAAAATTAAAAATAATTTGATAATTATTTTTTTATTATTTTTTATTTTTTTATTATTATTTTTTTTAACGTATTTGGGAGGGATCACATCAGCAAAAATGTTTCAACTTCTTCCTTCAACTAGTTGAGGCTAAAAGAGCAAATCGTAGCTATCACATCGGAGAGATAGTGTAGGTTGAAAAAGTAACTTTGCCTATATTGGCGGAAACACCTGACGATCACCTACCTATCGAGAAAGCGGTTGCCATTAAGCAAAATCTTCCAATTTTGATATTTGGAATTATCAACTTTAGTTAAGTTTGGTCAACTTACAGACTGATTCAAACAATGCCAAAATTATTTTAGGCTGATGAGAAGATAAGGATACAATATAGTTGTGGCCATGCTTCATATATTAGAAGTGAGATTATAATTATATCATGCCAAAATTGAGTTTTGGAGGTGATCAGTAGTTATTGTTTCACATCATAATCCTCTCTCTCACCTTGGGACTTGTGAACCACTACATTTCTCAGTGATGCTTTAACTACAGGACCCACCATCATTATCAATGGCTGTGTTGTTAATAAAGCTGGTGAAAATAATAATAATAATAATAATGTTTTTTTTTTTTTTTCATTGGTAAAAACAAGAGCCCTACGGCATCTACAAGCAACAGAATCACAAAAGATAACCAAAGCAAAAATAACAATCACCAAACCAGTGATACACAAAAAGATAGAGAGACCCTATATAGCCCTGACTCACAGCAAAAAGAGGCTGTAGCAGCAAGTGATAACCAACACCAACACGCGTAAGAAGGATTGAGAGCATACGTATAGACCCTGTACAGCACAAAACACAGACCATGTGTGACCCGGAAGCCTACAGCAGACACCACATGAGACGCCGAGAAAACCGAGGAAGACCAAGGGATTTGACCAATCGCCGGCGAACCACAAGCAGGGAAAACAGCATCGAAAACAAAACACCACTAATAACTAAAACCACAATAAAACCGAAGCACCAAAGGAGAACCATCCTCACTAAGATGATCGGCAACAACATGCCACGACCCATAGTTAATTGCGGCCGGATGAGAGGCAGCTCTGAACAGAGCAAGAAAAAGGAACAGCGAACCTGCTTCAATAACATGTCCAACGCGCATGTAATGACCCGGTCATTTTCCTTCCTTTCCTTTTCTTTAGATTTTCACGGATATTTTTTTTTCCATTGATCTTTTCCTCTCTGAGCTCAATTTCTCGTCACTCAGTGTCATCTTGAGTGCTCTGGGATGATTTCCAAGACTCTTTTCCTTGGATTGACAACTTCTTTCGAGGACCGCGTCATTTCCACATTTTCATTTTTCGGACACTATTCATTTCGTCCTTTTTCCCTATTTCGTCATTTTCCCTATTTCGTCTTTTCCTTGTTTGTCACTTTTTGGCATAACCACACTTCGTATGTTCGGAGTTGGTTTTTGACTTTACATATCTTCATTCTAAGTGGTTTTCACAAAATACGTATCTTTACTTTTGCAGAAAGGTACTCTGGCTGCTCTCGGTGTCCATAGGGGCATGGATGCACAGTTCTTCAGAAACTTTTTCTTTTCTTGGGGCATTTTTCATAAATATCTTTTGAAGATATTTTATTTTAGGGGTTTCTAAGCAAATATTTTTGGAAGATATTTTCATTTTGGGCTAGTTATGCAGTTTTC